ATTCCTCCAAGAGTAATGCTCAAACCTTCAAGGTCCGCCAGCCTCCATAGCCCTTGAGCTACCTTGCATGTAAAGAAAAATGGGAAAAAGATTCTGGTTCCCCGGAACATATAGGACAGATCGTGTCAGACACAAGAGTTTTAGTAAACAAAACTATCTGCAAGGGCAAGAAGCTGCGGACAGCTCGCCAAAAAAAGAACTTTAGCTTTGGAGGAACAGGAATACTCCAAAGAAATAATTTCCAAAAACGAGGTTCAAAAGGGAGGTCCACTGGAGGATGATGAAGATCGTACTCAGAAGACAAAAGATGATAACCTGTCTTAACAGTGTAAAGACCAGAGGAAGAATAATGTCATATCAAACGATCAGTCGAAACACAAATAGGGAGAGGTATAGACAAAATGAGATCAAAACTCTCTAGAGTGAACAGAGAAAGTAAGAGATCCTTCTTCCACGAGTGAGAAGTAGCAAATGAGATCTGAGACTAAAGGAGGGCAAATACTCAAACCTGGCCGTAAAACAGGGGTAGAAGGAGGAGAAGAGGGAAGCCAATTATCCGTTAAAGTGTGAATCCGAGTCCCGTTTCCCACTTGCCATCTTAAACCCCGATGTAGAAGATCTCTTCCTGACAGGATGCCTTGCCATGCCAACAAAGGACGGAAGCCTGCTGTCGCCTCAAAAAATATCCGTTGAGGATGATATCTTGCTGGATAAATCCAGGCAAGAGTGCTAGATGGGTTGCAAAGAATGCGCCATGCCTGCTTAGCTAACAAAGCAACATTAAATTGATTAAAATCCCGAAAACCAAGCCCTCCCACAAACTTACTCTGACAGATCGCAGGCCAAGAGACCCAATGAATGCCATTCTCCTTATCCTGGTTTGCCCACCAAAACTTCGACAACTGACTGTTACAGCGTCGACATGTTTCTTGGGGTAGTCTGAAGGCCGACATAGCATAGAGAGGCCCCGCAGCCCCAATCAACTTGATAACCACTTCCTTTGCCGCTAGAGACAATGCCTTGGTCTTCCAACTTCGAATCCGTGCAGCCAGATCCTCTTCAATAAATTGAAAGTCAATGATTTAGACCGACGAAGCTGGGACGGGAGTCCCAAGTATCTGTCATCAGGAGACATAATCGCAACTCCTAGAAACATACTGAGGGAATGTAACTCTTGTTCTGAAACATTCGCACTCCCACACATAGCAGACTTATGGAGATTAACCCGTTGCCCACAAGTTAATTATAACAATTAGTATTGTTTAAACCAGATCTCATGTATTAGAATTTTTACTGTTATGTGAAACAAAACTGTCCCATGAAAAGTTTTCCAACAAAGGAATGGATATAGTGCTAGCACACATTAGTGGTAGCACCATGGTAACATAATTTATTGAGGTATTATAGTAATAGCTGGTTAAATTCATAAAAATATTGAAGTAAATTTACATTTACTACCTGAAAATTTTTACATTATGATAACACAATTTTTCTATATTTACAAATATGTCCAAGTTTATGAGGTTTTTTATATGATTTGAGAAACTTGTGGTATGCTTTACGAGTTTTCTAGTATGCTTTAAAAAACATGTGAGTTGGCTTAATAAACTTGTGGTTTTCTTAAAGTTACCGATCTGACGAATTTTGTGGACGTTTTCTAGTTTGCTTTATAACTAAACTTTTTTATATACTTTATGCTATTTGTGGTGTGGTTTGTTCTATTTCTGGTATGTATTTTATTTGTCTGCTTCATGATACTTGTGCTAAGGGCGAGAGGCAGTAGAGCCACACGCGTGTGTGCTCCCTAATTTTTAATAATGACGTGCCCTCTCCTTTTATAAATCCGGATTAATTTTGATCATGCCCTTTAAAATAAATAAAGTCATCAAAATAAATGCTGCTATATATTGGCTGTAACTAGTATTACGGTCTTCTAACTTAAAGTCTCTTTTGTGGTTATATTCTTCTTGCTTTTATGTGTTCCCAGTTTCTGCCCATTCTTAATACAACTGTTTATTAACATAAAAGAAAAGGTGATGGGATTCCAAATCCTGTTTATATGAATCTATCTCGTGTCACGTGCACATCAACCACTTTATTAAATCTTTCAAAAAAAAAAAAAACCCACTCAATTAAACAAGTGATTTAGTAATTAATTAATCTATTGTTTACTCCAAATCAGAATTTCAGAACATTTGATTATAAGTATTATCATTACCCACATATTAGAGTGATTTTCCCACCATATATAGATAGATCGTTGCAATAATATTCAACAAAACCTAGTGGCGTCATACTTGACCCAACAATCGCCGACTTCGAGCTGGCCTCCGAATGAACCTGCGCACACTTTGTCCATGAGCCGGGTCCGAGTCTTATGGAGACAGTCTTTACAGTCGCCGGGAGAAACCGAGTGGAAGCAATATGCCGACGCGGCGACGGTGAGATAGCCCTCTATGTATACCTTGCAGGAAGGCTCGTGGCCGGGCTGTGCAGTGTCAATCGCCTCTCCCAGTGAGATCAATGCTAGGCCTCTCATTTGGTCGCTGATTTCTTGCTTCAACCCGCAGTCGCTATAGACCTTGGTTAGGTTTGGACCGCTTTCCACGACGACGACGAAGAAGTTGCCGGCGCTAAGGATGAACGCAGCTGCCAGAACAAGGACTGTAAATATTGGTGGTGTCATGATTATTATTATTTTGACTTAAAATGTTGGGGGGATGGGAGGGGATTCAGTTCTTGAGTTATTTGTGTTTATTTATATAAAATATATTCTCTTGATCACTACACAGTCACATAGTTTATTGCTGATCACGTAATTAATTAACGTATGTTACAAGAATTCTTGAATTTGATTGATGGTGTTCTGTAGGCGTACGGCTCATGCAGTATCTGATGCTCTTCTTCTGCCGTTTAGTTTTGTCTAGGGTTAGTTGTTTTGTTACGCAATGGAGTATCTGAATCGGCCTCTTTGTTTGATTTCTTAACTTAAAAACTCTGATGATAACGTTTGGGACTTGTTTCAAGGCACCAGCACTTCGCCTTTCTAAAATTTTGTTTTTGAACGAACATACACCAATCCTTTCTGCTGAGGATTAGGATTGGGAAATTGTACCGTCGGCCGTCGATCATACGATTAAGTTAAGGGTGACATATTAAAGTTTACGCCTAAAAATTGTCATGTGCAACATTGATAATTTACAAGGCGATTACGGTTCCTATAAAATCAATTTAATTATAATTATTAGGACTTTGCTACGGTGTCACCGTAACTTGCAATTTTAGGTCGACCTCATATAAGATTAGGTCGGCTTTATATAGGATTAGGTTGACCTAATCTGCACTTTTAGGTCGACCTAATCTGCACTTTTAGGTCGACCTAATATGCCATTTAAGTTTTGTGAGGTTCAACGACGCGGTTGACCATTTATAGCCAAATGGTCAACCTCTTTTTGAAGCGAACAGAATGAAAAGTCGACCCAAATACCTTATATGCCGACCATTTTGATTAACTGAGGTCGACCGCATAAGTACGAGGCCGACGACGTGCACTCCGTATCCGTATTGGATAAGGATTCCAACACCAGAAAAGTAACCCTAACTTATCTACCACTTATTTCGACCCATTCTCTTCCTAAATATCTATAAATATGAATATATGTCACCTTCACCGCCACCGAAACTCTGAATTAGTTTTTTGTACGGTTAGAGCTTTTGTGAAGAAGATCCTCTGCGGTTGCAGCTGTACGTGATTCAAGAGGTCAACCACGTGAAAGTTATGAGTCCTTGTTATCATTATATATGACTGATTCTGTTGGTTTGTAACGTAATTTGTACGAGCAAAAGAACCACCCACATCGACATACATAAGCAAAAATGACGCAGGGCATATGTTGATTTTCTTGTATTCGGTCGATCTCGTACCGGATTAGGTTGACCGCGAAACCAACACTTGATCTTCATTTTACGTCAAATGATGATGGATAAACGGATACAACACTTCTCTTCTATCTAGTCGACCTTTTTCAGTAAATGATCGACCATTTTGTTAATGACCGCCATCAAGTGGTCGACCTATATACCTTTATGGTAGACCATTTTGCTTCTGACGCTAATGAAAAGGGAGACCGATGTTTTATTGTGGTCGACCAACAATGAAAACTTCAACTACAAACGGTCAACCACAACATTTCAAAGGTCGACCGTGATAAGTCATCAGCGTGCCCACATTTGTGTATTCGGGAACCTCACAAAATTGAAACGACATATTAGGTCGACCTAATCTTATATAAGGTCGACCTGGCTAAAAATGCAGATTAAATCGACCTAATCCTATATGAGGCGACCTAAAAGTACAAGTTACGGTGACAAGTATGTCATCATAGACATACCCTAATCATTAATATTGTTTGAATTGGGCATCATGATATTATATTTTTCTACTCCGGCAATGTGAAACAAAACTCTCCTACAAAAAGTTTCCCAACAGCTCAAAGTGTCCCTCCTGCCTATATTATTTCAGCTTTTGAATAACAAAAAGAAATATGACTTTTTAATGCTTATGTTTGGCCCGACTTGACTTTTAGAGGTGTTTTTATGTTTAAAAGCTGAAACAAGGCCAAAACCTCTAAAAGCTCTGCTTTTTAAAAGGTGAAAAATACTTTTATAGAACATAAAAG